TCCTCCCGTCTTTTCAGCGGCTTCTTTTCTTCTTTTTTTGGAGGAAGGGGGGGAAAAGTTACTTCGATACGCAAAACAAAGCTCTCGCTCGCTTGCTCGCTCTTCCCTCGCGCCTCGGGTCCCTCCGTCGAAGATGCAAGCGGCAGGGAGATGGACAAGATGAAGAGGCTGGCTCGCTCCGGCGACGTGCAGCTCAAATCCGTTTGCTTGATCCGGTCTTTTTTCCTCCTCCTCCTCCTCCTCCTTTGCCCCTTCTTCTTCTTCCCTCCACCCTTCCTTGATTACTTCTTCTGCTTCTTCGCCTTGGCAGAGAGTGGAGCAAAACACAGCAAACGAGGAGATGGTGGTGGATTCAGGCGCTCTTCCTCCGCTTCACTCGCCTCCACTCCCCCCCCCCCCGCTCCGCTCCGCGCGCAAGCCTTTCTCCAAGATCAAAGAGTCTCAAAGCGCAACTTTCTCGCTCTCTGGCTTGTTTCAGAAAAGCTCGTGGATTTTGGCGATGGTGGTTTTTATCGCGCCGATAATAGCTTTTTCATTGTGCAGAAAACGAGGTCGATCCGGTCTTCCCTTCTCCTCCCATCACTTAGTCTGAGCAAGAAAGCAAACAGTAAAAAAAAAAAGAGGAGTAAAGCCCCCATACATACAGATAACACCGGATGGGAAATGTCAGTCACTCCTCCACCTTCCAGAGAGTCACAGATCAAACAGTGGCACCATCGGAGAGGACTACTTTTCTGCCTCGCTTCCCCTCTCTCTCTTTTTCCTTCCAAAGATCGCAGCTTCTTCTGATACTAGTATAATGCGAACACGTTTTTAACATGGAATATTTTTTTTAGTTGATCTTGATCTGCAACAGAAAACAAACAAAAGCCCCCAAACCAGGCAACCCCCAGAGTGTGTTGAAAGGTGGGGGGAGAGAGAGAAGCAGAGACACTCACAGAGTGGGAGAGATTAACGTGAACTGTCCCCCCCCCCCTCGTTTAAACTCCTGGGAGAGAAAGAGATCCACTCTTCCTCTCTTCTCTTTTCACTGAAATATAGCACACATTCAGATCCCAGAGCTTTCAGACAGTCTCAACTGATAGACAGACACATCGAGCTGCTTTTCCTGCTTCAGATTTTTTTTACTCCTCCTCCTCTTGCCAACGTCACCCTGACAATTACAAATAGGTCTCATACAGAACCATACCTGTCAATCTTTTTAATTGCTTTGTTTGATTTCACCCCCTCCTTTTCCTTTTGTTTATTTTTGCCTATCAAGAATAAAAGTCACGGCGGAAAGTTCTTAACAAATATTTTTAAAGATTGTTTTTCGAGGGAGACAAATGTACCAGAATTGGTTATAAATAAAGCTCAATTGGCTGCTGTGTAGAATCTAACGCATGTGGTGCACCGTGCAAGTTCTGGAAAACTTAAGAGAGTTGCTTCTTACGAGGGTGGGGGCAGACACACTCTAAACTTAGGACTTCTAAAAAAAAGTTTGCATATTTCTAAGCTGATGCTAAGAAGAAGAAAAACTGCATCATAAAAATATGGCTGAATGGGTTTTCCATTGATGGAGATTCAGATAAGAGAGCAGTGAGATTTAGGGGGTAACTCGAGAGTAAGTTCCACTGAACTGAGTAGACATGTTTAGGAATGTCCTGAAAGTGCTCTTCAGTGTAAAATGTAGATTAATTGACAGATTGATATTTAAAATCAGTTATTAACATTATGTGATTAAGAAATAGGATTTCTGCCATGACATTACTGGAACAGTTTTGCGTGTGCTTTCTATGCCATCTCCATCCAACGCTACCAAACAAAATTGGCAGGTTTTGTAAAACATTTTTTATAGGAGTCTGTTGACCAAGACATATGCTACCTATCCAAAAAGCAATGCTGAACATTGCAGAGACAGATTTAGAAGCACTATCCTAGAGATAAGGAGACACGGGTATTAGGCCAAAAATAAATATATGGCAATATTATTTAATGCCATAGCTATTGTGGGGAGGAAGGCGAGTCAATGGATTTACCAGTCTATCTTGTTATATAGGGTTATAAAATCTATGAGGCTGTAAAGCGCATTTCATGTGTACCTGAAGACCAGGAGGACACAAGCAGTATTTTGTGTTTGGGGGGGTGTCTTTAAATGGCGCTCACACATACACACAAACTCAGATCCTTAAAGATGCTTTAAATCCTTTCGTAAATCGCTGTTGTTTTTCTGCCTTCCCAAATGCAAGTGCTGTTTCCACTAGCGGTAGCTAGCGGCTCTGGGTTGATTTGTACCACCTTACGAGGAAGTGAACGTTTCGCACGGAAGGGGAGGGGCCTGTGGCTGCAGCCAGCGGCTCCAGGAGGCTCCTAATAACAACATTGCCAGATTAGCTGCAACTTCTCTCTACGAGCCTTAACTCTTATTCGATCTAATAACGTCTCCGAGCTTTCCTTTATATATAGATAAATAGATAACATAGGAAGAGCAGCTCGGTCTTTTTCTAAAGGAAAGAGCTGGAAGGAGCGGGAGGGGGGTGGTAGATTCGGCAAGCTTTTAATATGCAATAACGACGGGGCTCCCTTCCTCGGCATGCAGATCACACCCCATAAAAAATTCAAATAGAAAGATCGTGGGGATTAACCACTCCCCACAAACCCCCCCCCCCAGTGAAAGAAATCCGTAGATGCTGTGATCACCAACATACGCTTGTGTGGGTAGGTCTGTTCTGTTTGCAGGCTACACAAACGCGCGACGTTTGTGTTCCCTCGGCACCAGCAACTTGGCAGGGCAGGCTGGGCTGAAACAGGAAGAACTTTGTCCCTGTGATATTGTTGTTGGGTTTCTTTTTTCTTTTCTTTTTTTAAAAAAAATACTAGTGACGGTAGCACAGTATCAGCTGCAGGAGATTTTTTGCTGCGGCTGCTGCTCTGAGCTTCCTGTATTGTGGAGGGGCTGGAAAGGGAGGTCTCGAGGCAGGCTGCAGCTTGCTGCATTAGACTTTATTTACATACACAAACCGGTCTGTGCAGAATCTGTCTCCTGCAGCCTGTGCTGAGGTTTGCATGCCTGTGGAAGAACCCTCCTAGCCGAGGAAGAAAGAGCGCCCAGGGGGTGCGGAGAAAGCCGAGCAAAGGGCGGTAAGCACGGAGCGAGATGCGGGATCAGGCATGAGTTTCCACGCCCAGAGCAGCGCCTTGCTGAGGTCTTGGGGAGCTCAGCTGTGCAGGCTGCAGCGGCGTCCTTGGACGAGCCCCCTCCGGTCTTGCTTGGGTGGTGCTCGGCCCCGGCCCATCGTGGACATGTCCTACTCCCGCCACTTTCTGGATTTCCACGGCTCGTCCATCCCCACCACCATGAAGAAGCTGGTGGTGACGAAGCTGAGCTCAAACTTCCGAGAGGCTGTGAGCCTACGACACGATGCGCCTGTGCCACTCCCGGGAGACGGCGATCTGCTTGTCAGAAACAGGTGAGATTTTGCTTCTCCCTCCCCCGCGTCATTTTCTCTCTCCCTTTTCGCCAACTCTTCTTTGCATCTTCTCCGTGGGTGTTTTTTTGGGGTGGGGTATGCGATCCCCCTTCCCTGCCCTACTGCTTATCCTAACTTCTCACACCCTTTTGGCCTCCCCTCTCGTGTGCACGCAGTCATTCACTCGATGTGATCCTATCAAATCGTACCAGCTGCCATCTGGCGACTGCTGATTTAATTTTATTGTTGTGAATGGCTTACGCCATAATCCCGCGCGCGCACACACACCTCTGTGCAAATGATGAAACGTTTCCATTTGCTGAGAGGTAAAATGTGTATATTGCTTCGCTCTCCCCCTCCCTCTGCTCTCTTTTTTTTAATGATGTGTTAAACTGAAAGGAATCACGGGGAAGAGGGACAGCAGGTATTAAGAATGATACAAGCCTGAAGAAGGGTGATAGTTTCCCATCAAATCCACACCTTACGTTTAAAGCACATTCAATGCACATGGTTTCCCCCAGAGAACCCTGAAAACTATAGTTTTGTAAAGAGGCTGGGAACTGTACCTCTGTTAGAGGAAAACTACAGTTCCCGGGATTCTTGGGGGGGACGGGACGCCGTGTCTGTGGAACGTGCTTTAAATGTATCGTGTGCATCTGCAGATCTGAAAGTTGTATGCGACGGGAGAGTTCAGGAAGGGAGTTCAGCAACCAGGAAATGATTTCCAAGTCCCGCCCAGATTTCTGCCTGCAAATGTTTGTTCCATGTTCCTACAACTGTCAGTGTGTGTGTGTTCGTGTGTTCTCATGAGCGAGCGCCCCTGACTTGTTCTCTGTGGATCTGCGAGGGCTGTTTTATACAGTAAAACTGACTGAGCTGCGTAGATCTCTGTGTGTGATTAATACACAGCAATTGGGACGTTGTATATAGGTTATTTATAGTCTTCTGGGGGGGGGGTGCGCGCGCATGTAACACACTCCAGACGTTGTTTAGAGCAAGTTATGTGTGCAACTCTGCCTGTTTCTCCACCCCTCCCCCACCTCGGTCCTCCACGTCACTAATCTTAAGCAAGCCAGAAATCAACAGGAAAGCAGAGGGCCACAAATGACTGCCACCCACCTCTCCCCGTCACTCTTGAGTGTCTTAACTCCCTGGCCCTCTTCCTCCTCCTACGACTAAAGCAAAGCAGAAGGCACAGACCGGAGGGGGGGAAATGGGGATAAGCAGCTCCCCTCCCTGACCTCACCATGTTTACTTGGAAGTAAACCCCATTCATTTCAGTGACCTTTACTTCCAAGTAAGTCTGATCAGGATTGTAGCCCTCGACAAGGTGTAGCACTATTTTCAGACGATTCCTTTGCCTGATTTGAGCTGCTTTTGCAATGCATCCAGGTCATGGATGAAGTAAAGACGTCACATTTTGCTTAAAGCAATATGCTGTAAATTGTGGGCTAGTTAGTAGCTAACTAGGACTTGAGTTCTCATTTTCTTCCTTGAGCTTTCCACTCTATATACCTGAAAATTTGTAGAACAAAACCTCTACTTCAACAATCTTAGCAATATTTTTTATTATTATTTATTATTATAATACTCCTACTGCTGCTGCCGCCTTTCTAGATGATAGAATATCTTAAAATCAAAGTGGAGACTTTAAAAGTGGAAAGCTTAAAAATCCATGGGAGAATGTGGAATTCTAAAAGTGTGATTGTGAGTTTGGTGACTATGTGTTGGAGGAGGTTCAGGTAGACCTTAGATTCGTCCCTAACAATCCATTTTTTAATATTTAGAAGTGATTACTTGGTTGCTAATCTAGCATAAATTGCATTTCAGTAAATGTAGCCCTATTGGAGCCAATAGGGCTAAAATAGATTAAGCACAAATACACAGAATTATATGATTTGTGGATTACACACACACAGTACGCACAGTCTTCAGTATGAAAGACAGCATATATCATACCTGTATCTGAACCCTAGCAAAATGTTCGTGTTTTATGTAATGTACAACACCCACAATACAGGGAGAGATGCCCTCCCTGGTGTCAAAGGTTTGAATTGCTGCTGTCATCAGGACATAGTATTTTGGAGAGCAAAAATATGTGAAGCCTTAATAAAAATCTCACTCATGCTGCAGTTAAATTCCTTTGGTTGGGGGATATAGGAGGGGGGGGATCGGCTGGTTTAAAATGCTGCGTGAAGATAAAATATATCCTGGCCTCCCTGCTGCCTATCGGAAGATTGCTGCGTCCTTGTTCTCGAATCTCCTCCCCCGCAACACTTTCTCCCTCCCCCATGAAATTTGAAAATTTATGCATGCAATTTATTTTGTTTTCAATGTAACTCTTTCCCCTCCTGCCCTTGATACTGGGTGGGCTCTCTGGGGACTGGAAAGATGTGCTCGTGCGTTCTCCGAAGTGGAGGCAAGGGGGGCTAGAGCAGCATTCACCCGGGGACTCAGGCAAAGAGAGTCCAAGGATCGTAACTCGTTTTTTAAAAAAACACTTTCTCTTTTTTTAGTTTGCAAAAGGTGCGTGTGAGAAATCACAGGATTGGAGTTCGCAACTTTTGTGTCATGTGGATTTGCGTGAGATGTTCAGTTTTGTTGCTGGAGCTTCTCACCCAAGGCAGGAGAGTGCAAAATTAGTGCGGAATAAAGCGTGTTAAGAATAAAGCTTTCTACCTAACGCCTGTGCCTACCTTGAAAGCGTACACGGGACTCTCTCTCTTTCCACGCCCAATACCTTGTACACACTCGGGGGGGGGGGGGGAGCGTAGTCTAGCTTTGAAAATACTGTACACTTTATCTCAAACTGAAACAGAAAAGAAAATCAGCTGCTGCGGTGGCTGGAGAATAAGCATATTAGTCCCATAACTCCTATGAAAAGACCAAATGGTATAATGCAAAATAGTACCCCATTCTCCCAAGTAAAACAGACACACGCACATGTTGCCTTGGCGAAATTTAAGTTCGTTTAACTTTTTTCCTTCTTTTTTTAGGACAAGATTTTGTTTAAGTATCCCTCCCCCTCCCTCCCCCTCTCTCTGGAAAACAGCTCCCTCGCCTTTATTCTGATAATTTCCTGAACACCAAAAATAAAATTAAAAATCCACTCCAGCCTCTTATTCCGAGAGAAATGCCCTCAAACTGGGAATCGATTTGAAACATTAAACTTCTGATCATTTTGTGGGAGCTGTGATTGGCCGGTAAAAGAGGATTGAGGACCAGGAGTAATAAACAAATAAATAAATTAAGGGGGGGGGAATGTCTTTTAAGCCATTCATATATCTCCGTACCTTTGTCTGAGCTCCATCCCACCCCGAAAGACATTTTCTGGGTTTCTTAGCTAATACGTGACCAAGGAAGTGAGGGTGTAAGTGCGTGTTTGTATGTGTTTCTTTAAAATAAAAAGTGGCGGGTCTCATAGTGGGGGTTCTGTTTTCTTTTGAGAGGGAATATCATACAAAAAATTGGGTAGCAAAAGTAGGAAGCAAGACATGGGTTCGGGGAGGGAGTTTGGAGATAGGGGAAAAAATAGGAATGTGGGGCAAAGTGTTCTCAGCGATTGCGCTTATTTGGTCTGGGAGCTTTCCCCCCTTTTCCTGGCGTGCTCCTGGGTTGGGTGACTTTGTTGTGTCTGCCTGCTCAAGGTCGTCGCCCTACCCCCTCGCTCTCCTGACTTCTGCAAGTTGTTTTTGAGTAAACGAAGCCGCTTTCTAACCCCACTTTGAAGACGCTTCGCCCCCTCCCCTTTTTCTCCCTTCAAATCGAATGTGTTAGTATAAATAAAGCCGGGGCGAGTCAGCCTGCAATTATTATTGTGGAGTGGGGGACTGGGGTGGGGACGGCTCGGATCCGTATTAGTATTAGTAATTGTATCGCTGCTCTCATTTTGGATATTTGCGAAAGGCTTGGGTCGCTTCCTAGGGAAATGCAAACCACAAAATTGGGAGGAGGGTAGCGAAGGCCCCCCGATGAAGGTCACGTACTTAACCGAGAGAACAATGACTGCGGGTTGCCAACTCTCCTCCTCCACGCAAGTTTGCAAGCTGATCTTGAACTTGCATCTTCCCTTGGAAGCCACCGACACGCAGGCTGCAGACCTTCCTAGTAAGCCCAAGGGAGACTTGACAGCACAGTCCTCCCCATCTCTTCCCAGAATCTCCACTGAGTCTAATGGGATTTACTGCCAGTGCGTGTATTTCCCGCGAGTAAGCAGGTAGAGGATCGGGTCTGTACAAATCGCCAAATAACCCTGCACCGCTCCCCCCTTCCTTAGTGCAACTTTGTCCTGGGAATGGCAAGGGAGGCCGTTGATTTCTCCTTGAGAATACCTCATCAGAGCTACTTAAAAAATTACAACATAGAGCAAAATCACAATAATTCCCCTTATTATCCACACCACTGCTGAACTAGGAACGTAGTCCGTCCCCCCCGGGGCTGGGATCCAGAGTTGTATTTTAATACAGGAGGGGGGTAGCCGAACTTGGAGGTGGTATTGATTAATAACGAAAATGAACAGTGTTCCCACTACTTCGGAAAGAAAGATCTGGACAGGGCAGGCCCCTTTTTCGAGCAGAGGCTGGGAAAAGATAGGGCTTGTTTTCTAAACGCAGCCCTTATCTTCGAGTTCGATGGAGGAATGGTGGGAGAGAGGTTTCTGATGCATCTCGCGGAGAGGGGCGCAACTCTGTTTTGGAAGAAATGATTTTTTTAAAAAGTACGTTGTTTTCGCCCCCTTCCCTTTGCACAGCCTGCCCGGAGACTTTCTGCCTGCGCTTCCCAGCTGAGCCACGGAAGAGACGCGAGCAGCGCCAGGAGGAGGCTCGCCTCGCGAGGGGAGGGCGAACTGCAAGTGGCCATGTGCTGGCAGAGAGGGCAAAGCGGGAGGCGGAGGGGCCTGGGAGGGAGGGGACCTCCCGCCGACCTCCCCTGAGCCGACCCCAGGAGGACCCAGCCGGGCTCCGCGCTCCCGCTCAGCTGGGGGCCAAGGCTGGCATGCTCCCTTCTCGCTGGGGTGCCCCATAGATAGGCAACGTGGAGCTGAGCCTCTCCCTTCTTGCACACGCACCCATTTGCAAGCAGGTGCTCAGTTGCAATGCATTTGTGAGGGAAAGATCACAGAGGTGAACGGGGGGGGGCGTGTTTCACCTGTTATTGTTAACAAGGTGCGACTGAGTTTTCCAGCCCCTTCGGCTACTTGCAGGTTGTTGTTTTTTTAAGCCACCCTGTTCCTTATAGCCGCATGTCTTCATCTGCCCGCCCTTGCCAGCGATGTTTTAGTATAGGGGTAATACGACTTTTTGCAGCGAGGGGAAAGCTCCTGTCTCCAGGCACGCTGCTTGGCTAAGCCGAAGTTGAGCATTTCTGCTGGCTCAGCCCTGTCCTGTACCATTTGGCATGGGTGTGTGAAACTGGCAAGTCCCGTTTGCTTTGCAACGAGTCTGGGTTGTTGCAAGTAAAGTGCAGCCTAAATCGGACCACAAAGCCCCGACTTTGCTCTGGAGTCACTTTTCTTGCACCGCTTGCGTGTGCTGTTGGAGCAAGCGCAAGCAATTGCAGCGCCCGGGACAGGGAAGGGAAGGGGCGCAACAATTAGGATTGCCGAAGGAAGGCTGCAGACAAGCCCCCCTCGCATGCTGCCTGTGTGACTTCGGGCGCTGGGGGGCGGTGAGGGGCAAGTTCTCCGTGCCGCCCAAGAGACACTGTGCGGGGATGAATGAATGAGGCCGATTGCGCGCCCAGCGGACTCTCTGGCTTAGCAGCCTCTCTGCGAGAAGTAGTTGCGTGGGGTGTAATGCAAAAAGCAGGGAGTTGTCGTGTTGTGTCGGAGCCCTTCCGACCTTGCGCCTTGGCTCTCTGATCTTTCCTTTCTCACGTCCTCAAGGCAACCTCAGCCCCTTTACCTTGGAATCTGCCCTCCTCTCTTACGCTCCCCTTTCAGAATGGGAAATAGGAGTTATGTAAATTTTAACTGGATGGGAAGGCCTTTGTTTTCTAAAAAAGAGGTAAAAAAAATGTGTTCCTTGCTACAGAGGCAGACTGGATTAAATGAAGAATTAGGGAGACATACAGAAGACACAGCTCCCTCTGTGAATGCACATCTATTTCTGTATCTAGCTATCTGTATTGAACTCTGTACATTTTAATAAAGGAAAGAGATTTTTCTTAGAGTTAGAAATGGCCAGTGCACTTCCTTCAGTTTTGTTGTTTCGCTGTGTGCCAGCTATTTCAAATTACCATAAATCCACAAACAGCTCTCTAGTTGCATTAAAATCAATTTTTCACATATTTTCACACTTCCACATAATTAAATGCCATAATTTGTTTATTTTTGGTTATAGAAGAGAGAGAAACAGTCACATTGCTGTTTATGACAGAATCATATTTTTGTTTTCAGGTTTCTGTGGGAAAATTGGCTGCAAACTCTGTGTGCGTACAGATAACTTGTATTTCAGCATCATAAGCCACTTCACCACCCATCATTAAATTACTTGTGCCTTTTTAATACTTATGTTCATTTTTACTCGTTAGAGGTCAATAGTGCTCAAAAGTATTGTTGCATAATTTTAGTCCTTCAAGGTTGTTTTAAGGTGTTGTGAGTAATTTGTATACAGCAAAATATTTTAATAATGTGCAAATTAGTTGCATCAAAAGGCAAATTTGTTACAGACACTCAATCCATTTTCTTTAAATTTGCCTGCAGTAACACTTATGACCATCGACCTTGGAGAGGACATTGATACTTCATGTTATCATTAGTCACTTAAATGTGTTGTTATAATCTGAAATGTAAATTTATTGCCAGAGTCAACATATTTACTACTTTGCTCATATTTTAGTCTCTCGTATTTTTTTTAATAGAAAAAAGCAGTTTTATTCCCTAGCTTATCAAAACTCATTTCTATTGTTCTTATTTTCATGAAGCAGGCAAGGGGAAAATGCTTTGCATGTACAAAATATGTCAAATTGTGTTATCGGTAAAGCTAAAACCAGATTAAAACAACCTTTCCATTTTCATTTTGCATAGAAGGCGTTCCCCCACCCCACCCCCAACTCTTGAGATATTTGAATATGCAGCATTGAAATTTCTTACCTTGTGCATTTAAGCGAAAGGTTTTTCTTACAACGAAAAAAATGCCTTGTCAAAAAAAAGAGCCTAATACATTTTTGTTTGCTTCTAGATTTGTCGGCATTAATGCATCCGATATTAACTACTCAGCTGGCCGATATGACACGTCAGTTAAGCCCCCATTTGATGTAGGTTTTGAAGGAATTGGTGAAGTGGTAGCCTTGGGCCTAAGTGCCAGCGCTAGATACACAGTGGGCCAACCAGTGGCCTACATGAGGCCTGGTGCTTTTGCTGAATATACCATTCTTCCTGCCAAAGAAGCCATCCCAGTACCCTCTGTGAAACCCGAATTTCTTACACTACTGGTAAGTGGAACTACAGCATATATCAGCCTGAAGGAGCTTGGAGAACTGTCTGACGGGAAGACGGTTCTGGTGACAGCCGCAGCAGGAGGAACCGGTCAGTTTGCCGTGCAACTTTCCAAGAAGGCAAAATGCCACGTAATAGGAACATGCTCCAGTGATGAAAAATCTGGCTTTCTGAAATCCATAGGCTGTGACCACCCTATCAACTACAAAACTGAAAACCTTGCTGCTGTCCTTAAGAAGGACTACCCGAAAGGTGTGGATGTGGTGTATGAATCTGTCGGCGGGCAGATGTTTGACTTGGCTGTCAGCTCCTTGGCTACCAAAGGGCGCCTGATCATTATTGGGTTTATCTCTGGCTACCAAACCCGTACTGGCCTTCAGCCTGGTCATGTGGAAATGTTGCCAGCAAAGCTGCTAAGGAAATCTGCCAGCATCCGGGGCTTCTTCTTAAACCATTACCTTTCTGAATACCAAACGGCTATGAAACACTTGATCGAAATGTGTGAAAACAGAGAACTGGTTTGTGAGGTGGACCTTGGAGACATGTCTCCAGAGGGCAAATTCGCTGGCTTAGAGTCCGTATTCCGCGCTATAGATTATATGTACATGGGGAAAAACATTGGAAAAATTGTAGTTGAATTACCTCACTCTGTCAACAGTAAGCTGTAAAAACAGAACAATGATATAAATCAAAAGAGGGAAAATGGGCACTTTATGCTTCACAATAACTATTTCTTTAAAGTTGCCAATGGGTAACATATTAAAAAATAGCATGTAGGCTTTCGTTAAAAAATATTTTTTGAATTTAAGTGGCTTTGTGTTCTTTAAAAATGCCATGTGTCGTTGGCATTGCATTAAACAGTTCTGCATTTTTGTCTGGGAGTTTTGAGTGAACTTGTGATTAAACTTGCATTGGATTTGAATCTGGCCAACTATGAAATCTTCACCTACAGCTTTCCTCCAGAATTGAGTAAATAAAGGCATATTAATATTTTAAGTGAAATCAATAATATTATCGATTCTTCCTATAAAAAAGGATGGGTGCAGTTCACCTGGACATTCTGCTTGAGCAATGGGAGTCAAGCAAGAGTGCTTTTCAGTAGCACAGGGCAGCATCTTAGCGGGTTGCACTTGATATTATTTAAAAATGAGAAATTATCTTTTTTCAGTTGTGTTGGTTGCAAATACAATAATAAAATGCAGATTTATGTAACTCAAGAGATATATTTTACTAGTTACAAAAGTGCCAGCTTTTGTTTTTAAATGAAAGTTTGTTTTAATTTTATATAAGGTTTTATAGTTATATTTTGAAATCTTCATGTTGTAATACCACTTTCTAACTATTCTTTTGCCTATATTAACCCATTAATTGGGTTAACTTTCGTATAATGCTACATTCTACTAATATTAAGGCAATCTTAAGAACAGCGTTAACGAAGCCCCTCACCTTACAAGGAAATGGTGGTGACTAGATCACTTGCTTATAATGGCACCAGAGGACTGTGCTGAACTATGCAATAAGGTGAAGCCTTTGTAATAATTTATATTTCAACCTTTGTAAGAATTTATGTTGTTTTAAAGCATTAAAATCATTTTGACTATTATTATTTTTACCTATGCTTCAGTTGTTCATTTATTCTCTTCCGTTATTTTTTGTGCAACTTCAACTGCAGTCCTATGACTACTTACCATTGAGTAAGCCCCACTGACTCTCCGCTGAATGGGACCTACTGTTAAGCAGACAAGCCATGTTTCTTAGTTGGCTTCAGATTGCCTGTTTAGTTGTTGTTTTGTGAGAAGGGGTTAATCTCTTTAAGATGAAGATGCAAAAGAGTGTTTCCTGTTTCCAAAGACAACACACATGTGGAATAAACTGGCACTTTAAAATATGTAGCAATTCTCCACTTTCAGCTATTTGCTTTTTCAGGCATTCTGGCAATCAGTGTTTAAGGACACTCTAATGTTTATTGTTGAACAGATTCCCCTTTTAGGCTCATAAGCATGGTTTTTTAAATTCCTGCTGCCCTGTAGCTAAAAGCACACCCAAGTAGTAGGATTTAGGCCAGCTCGGCACCGCCGATTTCAGTGGAACCTTAACTGGCTTAAATCCAGGTATTCCAATTAAACTGGGTTTTGGACTGGGATGTTGGAAAATTTGCTTGGTAGGTGAAACCCAAAGTATATTTTGGATCCAGCAGCTGATCACCCTATGGAAACATTCTCATTAGGATGAAGTAGTTGGCTTCCCTTTGGTGGTGAACAAAAGTGGAGACAGCTATTTGTTTCTCCGTACAGCACAACTGTGGAGAACAAAATTCAGTTTTAGACATAAGGAGCCATCGTTATAATATGCTTCAGCACATAGAGATGTGAAGTGACCAAAGCCTGTTTCCCCCCCAAATTTTTGACCCTGAGTACTTGAGTTTCACAATTCTGTCTCTTTGAGGAACTATTACAAAACATCAAAATATTTACACCCCAATCATAAGTACTGTTCAAGTCATCTTGAGAGGGGTGTTTATGCCCTGAAGGCTAGTGTAAAATATCTAAATAAAAATAAGTCCCACTGATTTCATTGGGCCTTACTTCAAAATAATTATGTTTAATATTTCAGCCAGGTGGAGTGTGTTCCTTCCCAGTTGTGTGTGCACGCATCCGATTGATTCCCATAGTGAAGAACCACATTTACCTAGAAGCATAGCTACAACATTCTGTTTCATACTTTTTAAAGTAAGTAATTCTACATGATCATAAAATGGTAGTGTTGGTAGGGATCCACCAAGGATCATCTTGTCCAACCCCCATTCTGTTCTGTTTCAGTTTGTAACAATTAACATCAAATGAGTCAAAGCTGAAGAGGCAGTTTCAATATCTGCTGTAAATATATATATATATATATATATATATATATATATATGTAAAGGCCTAGTGTTGAAATTTAAATTAAAGAATGTTTCTAACAAGTATGTTCAGGTTGTAGTCTTATGCCCACTTACCTTTGAATTGATCGAAACTTATTTCTATGTAGACCTAGAGAGGACTGAGTAATATCAATAGGTACGCACACCAGTCTTGACCTTAGTGAATACCTTCATGAGTGAAACACATTTACATGATTGTAGACTCACAGTGGACTGTTAAGTCCTCATTTGCTGAGGCTCCCCGGTGCATGTCCACCTCAGCATGTTTACATCCAAGTATCTCCACATCACACTTGGTTACTTTACAGCAAATGCACATGCCCCAAAGTGTAAACGGAATCAGATAGTTAAACATTGGAATCAATGGGATATAAATGCTTAACTATGGGTTGCATAACCTGGATTGTGTGCTTGTTAACAACTGCATCTTATTCTCTTTAGATGTGAAACAATAGTTTCCGAGCTTACTAATTTACCCAAAGATTTTTTCACATAACATTCTTGCTGTTGCTGCTGCATTGTTGCTGCTGTTCTCTTGTTCTCTTCGCCAGGCCATTCTTCATTGAATCAAGCTAGGCGTGGTAGGGTGGCACTTTGATGTTGTGGAAAGGCTTGGTGTTTACAGGTAATTCTTAGTCCTGATGTGTGTATCCTATTGTGCCTGATAATTGGATTATTCTCTCTCTCACACACACTTTTTATTAAATCCACATATCTCTGCTTTTACTTAAAATATTTATTTTTGCCTCACCATAGTATAAATTATGTTGATTCCAAGTAAGTGATGAATTTAAATAATGCAGAAGTCTTTGGCAGAAGCATAAGAAGTAGTACTTGTTATGGATAGTGGTCAGAATGAGGGTATATTAATGGTTAGATAACAAACATATATGGAGAGGAAATACTGTCAGTTCATTGCAAGGGATTAACAGTGAAGACACTTGGGCCAAGATCCAGATTGCCTGGCAATGCATGATTGAAAAGTGCTTCAGCTTGCTAGGGCAGGGCTGCTGGTTTTCCTTTCCAGCTGTAGCCCATTGCACAGTCTTATATCCTGGATTAGTATGACAGGCAGGACACCAGGGGCTGTCCTGCAACTGGTGGTCAAGAAAAGCCCTGTTGCATGCACAGAACTTTGGATCCTGGCTTTGACTGTTTTATAAAAAGATACTTTAAAAACTCTTTACAGAGGTAATCCTTAAATGAATGCAAATATTCATTCAGATTGAATACCAATAATAGTATAATACCAATTATAAAACGTCTAGGAAATGTCTTGTATATTCTAGATAGAGAATTGGCTTTTTAAGAAAATAACTCATGGAGGCTGCAAACCTCCACATGCTTGGAAGTAAGTCACATTGAACTAAATGGAAATTACTTCTGAGGAGCTACACCTAGGATAGCACTGCATATTGCGCCTCCCCCCGAAAAAACTTAATTTAACCTTTCCACTCAAATTTGCTTGCTGTGGAAAAAGTTGGATGTTTGCAGACAGCAGCAACTTGAGTTTTTCTACATATAGCAAACACAGACAAGGAAAATGTGTCAAGAAAGGCCAAACCTGTAATGTTGTCATAGTTGTTTTTTAGATACACATATATATTCTCCACCAAATATATTCACTTGCAGTATTCTGCACATTTTACCCTGTACATTTTTTATTGAACTGTTGCACTGAAGTATTTTAATACCTTTTAAAATTAAATCATATTTCAATAACATTATAATGTTAATTTTTTTGTGGGGGAGGAGAAGCCAATTGCTGAGTATAATTGCCATGCTGTGCAAATACAGATAATTGCAGCTGCTGAGGGAAAAGTTTGCGGCAGTATTCAGAAATGTTATTTGTTTGTTTGTTTGCTTTTCTTCAGTCTGAGCTAGAATGGAACTCCACTGCTGAATAGCTGTTAGTATCTATTTTACAAGATTTACTCATTTTCAGGTGCCTAATATAGCTGCTAGCATGCATGCACAACAATACAATTTATATGGTAAATGGAACCAAATAATGGCTTCGCTGAATGTTATGGCTGCACTGAAGGGAAATGTCACGGTAAATAGCTGCCAAATTATGGATCATGCCGAAGTGTCACAACTGCACTAAAGACAAATAGCACTAGAGACTATTGCCACTGTGACGCTTTTGAGTTATGAAGAAGAGGCGCAGCCTTGATGCGAAGCTCTTTGTGTCCTCATTATAGCAAAGGGTTACTGGTGCAATGTACAAAAAAACCTAGTCCAATGTGATGGTTAGTTATTAATCTGTCCATTTCAGATCTAACAGCTGTAGAAGAGCAGGCAGTCTTAAAACACACACACGCACACAGAGAGAGAGAGAGAGAGAGAGAGAGAGAAAGAGAGAGACTAAAAAACTGCAGGTTTTATTAACATAAATGTGTATGGGGAATGACTGGCAATGGCAAAATGTTGCAATAAAATAATCTAATCAAAGAATATTATTAAATTTAACATAGTATGCATCTGAAAGGTTTACTTGCTTCTTAGTCAGATATATGTGTGAAATATAAGCGGTAATGCACTTTTCTCTCTTTGTAAAGACTTGAGTAGTAAGGACATTACCGACCAAATTGCTTCTTCTAAACTGAAGTGAGTCCCGGTTTCTCTCATTTTAATGGGAGGGTAATAAAGATGAAAGACTAACATTTTAACTGATGGATCCCTTAAGCTAGAGAAGAGAAATTTATTATGTTTTGAGGGGCTATGATAAATCCTGAATGTGAGTGCATGTTTGGGGTGATATGGTAACCTCAAGTAAAAGAAAAACAAAGCACACCATTAAAAGGGGGCGGGGAGCCATCCTCCTTTGTGGGGTTTGATCGTTTTTACACTGTTTTTATTTACTCTAAGGAAACAGATTCTATTAAGACATCATGATTTCAGTTCTCCCCACTATTTAGGAGCAAGTTCCATTGCTTGCATTTGGATTTGGTGTTTGGAAGATAGCGGCCATTATAAGTGAAATGCTTGTGGAGATTAAAAAAATTTAGCAACTATTACATCTGCTCCAAGGCCATTGTTTAAACATAGCCTGAAATTATAAGTAAAATAAGTTTGATGTTCTCAACACTTTCTTTAGGAGATTATTGTACACACTGCAAATACACTATCCATAATTCAACACAACTGTCAGCCTCAGTTTTAGAGAAGGGGGCTGGGGCCAAACAATTGTAGTGGATAAATTACTTCTCTTTTCTACAGAGAATGGCCTTCCTTCCATGTTGTGCTTAAGGTCATTGGCAGGGCAGCGTTGGGGCAGTTTGCACGGTAGTTAAATCTTATATGCCGTTTAAATATGCACTACGTAATCCTCATTGTGAGGGGTAAATAGAAGATTAATTACTATTTTGTTTGATTAAAAAAACCACACACACCACTTTCAGATGTGGTACCTCTCACATGTGACCTGTATAGATAACTTTTTTAAACTGTCTTAGTACTTTTAGATTTCATCACCCCACTCAAAAATCTAGATTTTAGGCTATATGCTAGTTTTTAGCATGTGGCAATAATGTGCTCACTGTTTAAAACCCTTGTCCTGTCCCCAAAAAGTTCCATCAAACCCAGGCTAGAACAGCTATTAGTGTGCCCAGAATTTATTTTTATGTACTGCACAGTTGCAAGTAACTGCTTCTTATTAAATGAAAACCCTGCATTAGATACTTTAGAAAC